CCCGCAAGACTTGTCTTTCAAACACCCTTTTCGCCGTGTTTCTGACTATCTTTGCCACGACAACTCCCTTAATGCACCTGATTCAGGAAGTCACGGTGTCCTCCGTCGTCTCCAGTTGGTTCAAGATGCTGCAGCCAGACTCATTACCAGGACTAGAAAGCACAAAGGCATTTCCCCATGCTTTGCCTCCCTGTACTGGCTTCCTGTTAAGAGTGTATTGATTTCAAATTCTCACCTTTAAAGCTTTAAATAATGGCCTTACCCCTAAATACATCACAAACCTATTGACAGAGTATGTACCCTGCTGCCTAGTTAGATCTTTAGACAGTGCCCTGTTAAGTGATCTCAGGTCACGATTTGTGACAAAGGGAGATCCGGACAACTCTATTGGAGCCCTGATTTATGAAACACTCTGCCTACAAAACTAGGACACGTCAAATCTTTATCTGCCTTCAAAATGAAACTTTAAACTTTCCTCTTTGTTAAAGCCTTTGGCAATGTAGGAGGGTTTTTTTAGACCTTTATTCTTGTAGTGAACTCATCTTATCCTTTTCTTTCAAAGCACTTAGTAATGTGAAAAAAATAACTATACAAATACTTTGTGATTATTATGTGGCGCTTGTAGGCTTCCCAGCAGCCTGGTTGGCTCCGTTTATACATCCTGAGGCTAAAGATGTGGCTTTTTCTGTGGACTGACGCTGCAGCAGGAGGACAGCAAATTAAACGGTTCAGGTTCAGATTACAGCCTGGATATAAAAAGGTCAGGTGAGGGAGAGGACGCACAGAGATAAGAGAGATAGAGTCCTATCGCAAAGATGAACACAATTATGACAAGTCGGTGGATAGGGGAGGTTTGGCCAGATCTGTCATTATACACAAAAAAACACACTATTCTAAACATTTTCCATAACTGATCTGTTAGGCATCAACAAAGGTTTCTTAATTTTTATTTCTCAGTCTCTCAATTCAGCCTATCTATTCCAGTTTCCTTAGCAAACCAATAAACCTGAAGCACAAATATAGGTTAAAGCCAGTGTTTTTTATTATTTATTTATTTATTTAGTAGTAAAGTAACAGATCCCTGAATATGTCATCTCAGTCACAAATAAAACAAATGTTCTCAGCTTAAAATGTTATGTTTCATTCTTTATTTTTCTTTATCTCTCCTTTTTTTTCTTATCAGCAGTTCATGTTTATACTGATTAGCCCCAAATCCCCCCAAATAACATTTTTTAAGCTTAAACCTCAAATGAATTATTCATTTTAACATTACTATAGTACAAAAACATAGATACAGAAACCAAAGTGCTTCACATTTGAATGTATTGTATTTGCTTTATTTTCTGGTTGCATACATTTGAACCTGGAGCTGCTGTTTTCTGGTGGTTCTTTATGATTATTCACATAATTCTTCCAAACTGAAATAATGAATGAATCTAAAAGCAATCACCCCCCCCCTTCCCGTTCTTAGCAGAATTTAAATGAGGACGCTGTACATTTGTTCATTTTATTCCTATTTTTCCACCTTTATTTTGAACCGAGCTGGCTCACTCATCTGAGGAGAATACTAGTTAATCTGGGGAGAGGAGATGAAAAGTAAATACAGATGAGAATATGTTTATATCTGTGTGTATGTGGTGAATTACCCGTCTTTGCGAAGCTACTTAGGCAGCAGCGAGTAAAACGATACGACCTGCAAACCACCACAGGAGCAACACAATACAACCACTTGATTAAGTTTATTCAGCTGATTTAAATGACAGTAAGGGTGTGTTCACCAGCTTTGCTTTTAGCTGCTCTGCAAATTGTACTTAAAAATCTGACTGTTATCAGGTTCATGAGCAATGCTCAACACAAGCGGAAATGTCATCATTCAGTAATATTTTATTTTTGTTAACAAACAACTGATGGTTTGCCCTTTAAAGTGCCTGTGACATCAAAGTTTTGTAACACATGTGCATGTATTTTTGGAAATACAACATTGATAACTTATTGCAAAAAAAAAGTCACACTGCTGAGATGAACAGTTGTTGAGATATTCACATGTGAAGTAACAGGAAGTGATGTCACAGGGGAATGTCTGCGTGTGAACAGAGCATAATAACTAACAACACAGACTGTAGAGAAGAATCTGATGTTTCTTTAGATTATTTTGGGTCTCTATCAAAGAGATGAAGAAGAATCAAATTTAAAATATTGTTTTAATAAGCCAGGGAGTTCCCCTTTGATGTCACTTCCTGTTTCGTTTTGGCTGAACCAAGTTCAAAAGAAAATATGCCAGTTATGTAAAATTGCGTGTTTTATGCAGTTTCTTAAATATAAAGATGTTTTCTTTGACCTTTTGTATTTGAACTTAAATGTTATTAATTTTATTGTATTTTTTCATTTAGGTCATGGTTTAAACTTGGACAAATAAAAAGGTGACAGTACGAACACTGTATATTAATGGTGCTCTGCTTTGCTTCAAAATCTGCACAATTGAAGATTTTGATTGATATAATCGATCCCAGATCAAGCAAAGAGACTGATAATGACTTGTTACCAAACAGTTTCATTGTGTGGGAAATAAAAGTCAATTAGTTATTTGAAAGAAACATGAAAACCAAAACTTGAACTAACATGAGAAAATAACACAAATTCTCCATAGCATTAGATAATTACCTGCCCTGGTTTATTCAACTGCTGTTTTCCTATTTTCTGCACACCTCATCATTGAGATCATTGCTTTTCTAAGTTTGGCTGATTTTTCTTACATGGAATTGGGTATTTAATGAATAAATGTGAGTCTGCCGTGCCTGCAGCTGTGGTGTTTCACCAACCTTGACTGATTAGGTGAATGCTTTCCTTGTTCAAACTAAATTAAAGTTTATAAAAGTAAAGTTAAGAATTATTGCTTATCCTTTCTTATCAGCATTGTTTGATTTTGTAATAAACAAATGCCAATAATGCTTCTGTAACAGATGTAAAATTGGAGTTTCCAGTTTCAAAATTGATGGTGTTGAGATTTGTAGAGTCAGTCAGGTGAAGTTTTTGGTGTCATTATTGATGAAAAACTGACATGGAAATCTCACATAAATCATTTAAAAACAAAAATAGCCAAATCCATTGCAGTATTATACAAAGTAATGAACTTATTTAACGATAAAGCTCTGTTTATATTATATAATGCAATAATTGTTCCACACTTGATTTACTGTGTTGAAGTCTGGGTAAAGTATACAAAACAATCACAAATCCTATTTTTATTTTACAGAAAAGAGCCGTCAGAATTATCACCAGAAAACATTACTGTCACCCATCCCATACATTATTTTCTAAATTAAAATTATAAAAATTGTATGAGTTGGTTGATTATAATATCTTGCAGATTATGTATAAGGCTCATAAAAATGTACATTTAAACATATTTTGTTAAGAGAGAAAGTTTAAATAATCTTAAGGGACTTGAGATGTTTTTAAACCTAAAATTCAAACACATTTGAAGGATCGATGCACTTCAGTTCAAGGAATAAGATTGTGGAATAATCTGGAAAATGATTATAAAAATGTTGATTCAATGTGTTTGTTTAAGAGAACGATAAACATAAGTTTGTTAAAGAAATATGAAAAATGTCAAAAGTTGTTGTTTGTAAAGGAATTGAAGTTTTTATTTTGTTTTGTTTTTTGATTATTATTGTTTGAAATTAATTTTGGAAAAAAAGGGGCAGATATAAGATTTTTTTCTTCTTTCTGACTCCTTTCAAGTGTGATTTTTTTTCTCTTTATTGTGTATAAAATTTTATTTTTATCTTTAAATGAAATGAATCAATGAATTTAAAAAAATTGGGAAGAAAAAAGATGATTAAAAAAAATTTAAGTCCAAGTTTCAAGTTGACACAGAAATACAAAAAATATGACTAAAAACTTTATAAGCTTTATAATCTCTGAAGAACCATTTTTCTGTGGTGCAGTAAAGGCAGCAGACAAAAATAAAAAAGTTGCGTAACTCTTCCCTGAGATGCTCTGTGACGTAGCAGCCTCCTTTGTAAACGCCAGCGGCTCACTGAATGAGACATTTTCAAACCCAAACAAAAGGAAAACGTCTGTTTTTATAGAGTTTAGAGCTGGGAGTTTTCCAAGCATAAAAAATAAATCTCAAGCACGCAAACAAACAAAAAAAGTATGATATGCCCTTTAAAGATGTAAAGTAACGTCAGCAAGTTTTTGTTTCCTCATTGTTTCACAGTGCAGTTCAGTGAGACACAATGAGATTTGTTGTGTTTACAGTTTGCGCTCACCTCTCCTGGTGTCCCAGGTCCTGCAGGAGGGCGTCAGCATATTTCTGCCTCTCGCTGGGCTCAACGCTGGACAACTTCTTCACCTCGCTGCGCACAAAGTACCAGAACTCTTTAACACCGTTCTCCACCTTCCTCCGCAGCTCCTCCTGAGTCGGCCCGGGGCCTGCGGGGGGCGCGGGGGGATGAAAGAGGGGATACCAGGTCAAAAAAAAAAAAATACACAAGAGCTCACAACAGCACGAAACAAAGAGCCACAGCTGGTGTGAGATTTCAGGGGCAGGTATGATCTAAGACTCTGAATCAACAACAGCTACAAAGCTGGAGGACAGCTCGAAGAAATGATGTTTGGAGGACTTCAAGTGTCTGAGAATCAGCATTGTCTAAGGATAAATAACCTCCTGGCACAAAAAAATATATAAAAAATAAAAAAAACACAGCTTTGAAACATAATCATTAAAAGTTTTCCTCTTTCATATTGTGTCCCTGGGTGTTACTTTGACCTCATTAAGAAACACTTGATCACTGCTTTCGTCTCTCATGTTTTTCACACACAGGAACTTCACACCCTTATGAGCCAAACAATGTGGAGCGGTACGTGGAGAACACAGCTGCCTGCTCTGGTTTCTGTGGAGGGAAACGGGGGAAATAAAAGGAACAGCCTGAAGCGGGAGGAGACGTCGGCAGTGGAGAAGCTCTTCGATCTCGTGCCGTCCTCTGTCTTTATCCCGAAGCTTGTTGGAGAAAACGCTGCGGGGTATTTTTAGCTTTTTCTCCCCCTGCGGCGAGATGGAAAAACTGACCCTGTGCTGCCCTCCGTGCTCACATGTCCTTTTTTATTTCCTCCCTGTCCTTTTCCTCCCCTCTCACTCTCTTATTTTGCCAGTGGGGGATTCACACTCCTTCCACTTCATTCACACGTTTCCCCACTCACCTGACAACTGTCCTGCCCCCCCCATGCCCACTGCTTACAGAAGCAAACACACACGACCCTGCCCACCGTCGACACGGCTGTGTCATCAGCACTGCTGGGCTGCAGCAGCTTCAGCACAGAACTGGACTGGCATTCTCCCTAAAGGCAACACTTCTACAAGCAGCTATGGTTTTTATACCATACAGATATAGTCAGCCCACACATTTTCAATATGCTGTGTGCTGTTGTGTTTATTTCCTGAAGCCCTAAAGGTGGGCCTAGTTACCGTCTCCGGTGAGTTTCTGGAAGCTGTGGATCTGTTGTTTGGCTCTGGTGAGCTGGTCCTCCAGGGAGCGCAGCCTTCCGGCTGCCAGGGACCCAGCTTCTGCCTGACCCTCTGGTATCCTGGAGAAAAGACAAAAAGAAAATGGGATGTTTAATACGTCAGTGGTAGAAGAACACTTTTCATTTTTTAAACAAAAAAACATACAAATGCCCTGACAAAGTGAAAAAACAGCATAAAAGAACAATTTCTTTATAAAAAGCTCAATGTAAATGTTGCTCCTTTACATAAAGGCTTAGCATATCACCTGCAATCCTTCAGGCAGATATTTACGACTGAAATGCCTGTAAAGACCTCCACATACTTCATCTGAATTGCCGAAATTGGCTCTCATTGTCGCAGTTGCACGACGAAAACTGCAACATTTTCTTCTAAGCTTTGAGTCTTCCTCCACTTTAGGTCAGTTAGTTTATTTATTTCTTTAAAAAACAACATAAATTCAACAAACAACAAAAATACAAATCNATTTGCACCCTCTCTATCTTAATTATTTTATTTGTATGGTGTTTATTTATTAAGGTTTTTAATTTATTAATTTTTTTTATAAAACACAATAACTTACCTAGGATGGGTTGATTTAAATCTACCTGATGAATTACGTAAGATTTGCACCCTCTCTACATTAATTATTTTATTTGTATGGTGTTTATTTATTAAGGTTTTTAATTTATTAATTTATTTTATAAAGCACAGTAACTTTCCACGGGCAGGAATTTCATTTGCCCTTCTTTTTTAAAAGAAAAATTAATAAAATAAAAAAAGATTTGCCCTTCCTTCTGTTCCAGAAACCAGCAAGAGAATCAGACCCGTTTCTTTTTCTAAGAATGGTGAAGAAAACCCCGGTTTCAGCAAAAGATGCCATACTGCCTTTACAGAATTGGACAAGAAGAATGAGCGTTTTGCCTTCTATTTCAGTGACTCAAATATTTTTACTACTGTTTTTTAACCTATTTAAAGCATGTTAATTGCTTTCAGTTCAGTACAGTTAGTTTATTCATTTCTTTTGAAAGCATCGTAAATTCAACATACAACCAAATTATAATCATAAATTAAATGAAAGGCAGCAGAAGAAGATAAAATCTTATTTTATCTGCCCTTTTTCTTAGTTTATTCATTTCTTTTTTAAAAAAACCATCGTAAATTCAACATACAACCAAATTATAATCATAAATTAAATGAAAGGCAGCAGAAGAAGATAAAATCTTATTATATCTGCCCTTTTCTCAAATAAACAAATTCAATCAAAAATAATCTTTAATTTACAAAAAAAAAGAAAAATACAAAGGTTTAACTCCTTGAACAACAATTCATACATTTACATACTTCTCCAGCAAATTATTCTTTATCATTCTCTTAAATAGACTCGTTAATCTGGCATTTTTAATATATTCCAGATTATTCCACTTCTTGTCTCAACCCACCAGGAGAACCCTTCACCCCCCTACACATAACTTACTGTGTGATTGGTCAGACAGTCATGGCTGTGTTTGTTTAAAGTGCCTGTGACATCCAATTTTTGTAATAAACATGAAAGGGTTTTTGGAAAAAGAGCATTGATAAAATGTTGCAAAACAAATTTCACGCCGTCGAGATGAACAGTTGTTGAGATATTTGCATGTGAAGAAACAGGAAGTGATGTCACAGGGGAATGTCTGCATGTAAACAGCGATGCTACAGTTATTAGAGAAGAATCTGTTTCTTTAGATTATTTTGAGTTTTGAGTCACTATCAGAGTTGAAGAAGAGTTTAAATAAGATTGTTTCAATAAAGACTAGAGTTTCTTTTCTTAGAGTTCCCCTTTGATGTCACTTCCTGTTTCACTTTGCTGAGCCAAACTCAAGAGAAAATATGCCAGTTATGAGGCAATACGGGTAAAATCATGTGTATTATGCTAATTTTCTTAAATATAAATAAGTTTTCTTTGACTTTTTGTGTTTGAAGGATAAGCATGTCACAGGCTCTTTAAGCTGAAAGCGCTCGGACGCCCCGTTCGGTTTTACAACACCCTCTTTAGCCAGTGATGCCTCAGGACGCCCCCAGGGCACCGTACCAGTTTTCGGGTTTGCCGAGAGATGTTTCTTCTTTACAATATGTAAATTTTGTAAGCTTCTGTAAACTTTGTAAGCAGCGTGAGGATGACTTTATGAAATCAGAGGAAGAAACAGAAAAGAAACTGCACCGGCTTGAATAGAAGAGGTGGGGAGCGATGTTTACAGCTTCAGTAGCTGTTGTTGTGTGCTGTTATCACAATCGCCAGTCCGGGGCAGTGAGTAACTTTTTTTTTTTTTTTACAATTTGGTGCATTTCATAAGCTTGCTGGGGGAGGGGCTTAAAGTGTTGATGCCCTCTTCCAAAGTCCTACGAAACAGAATGTACCAGGAAGCAGACATTGTGTGCATGGAGGAATCTGTCTGCCAAAAAAACACTTTAATGTAGTAGATTTTTGGCCAAAATAAAGGTAGATATCTGAGGGGTTTTTTTCCCCTTGGAGTGTAAATTCCAGCCGGAAGAAACCCTGTGCATTGGGTTGTGAGTCAGGGACTATGAAAAGTGTGTTGTGAAAGTGAACATCGAACAACCATGTGACCATGCGTCAACTGTTCGACTACAGATCGAGTATACTCAATATTTGCCTTTTTAGTGTTCACCGCCTAGGATGTTTTAAGCTTTTATTGGAGTCAAAAATTAATCACGTTCAATAAAGTGAAAATCTCCCTTGTATTTATTAAGTTTACAAACCAGCCATACAAATACAATGTATGAAAAATAGGCTTTTAGTTACCTCTGTAACAAATACCAAGAGTTCATTGATTGTCCATGCTAAATAATATTTAAGTTTTTACCATTGCATTAATAAATCTAAAGATGCCATGAGTCATCTCTTTGCAGAACATGTGGTCTAAAAAAAATCAGTAACACTTTCTTTTACTGTACCCTTATTACCATGTAATTACAAGGAAGGACAGACAGGATTCCATGCAACCTTCAGGTGAAAATGAAGACCCCAAACCCAGACCCAAACCAGTGGTTATTCCGTATGTTGCGGGTGTTTCGGAGAAACAGACGTTTATTTTCTAAACATGATGTCCCAGTYGCTTTCAAACCCCAAAACACATTACGGCAAAGGCTGGTTCACCCCAAAGATCCGGTGCCCCGGCACAAACAGAGCAATGTTGTATATGCTGTTAAGTGCCAGGAGGACTGCGACCAGTTATACATCGGGGAAACAAAGCAGCCACTGTTCAAAAGAATGTCCCAACACAGACGAGCTACATCTAATGGCCAGAACTCTGCAGTTTTCACTCATTTACAGGCCAGCGGTCACTCTTTCAGAGATGAGGATGTTCTCATTCTTGATAGAGAGGAACGTTGGTTTGAGAGAGGAGTAAAAGAAGCCATTTTTGTAAAGAAAGACTGTCCATCATTAAACAGAGGTGGAGGCCTCCGTTTTCAGATGTCCCCCTCCTACAGTGCTGCTATTGCCAGTATCACTCCACCCCCTGTTAACAAAAAGTGTTAATTAGGTGTCAACGATAGCCATGTGATGTGAGTATCAGTCACATGGAGGCWGGGCTTAAAAGCCTGAATTTTGCCTGAAACTCTCAGACTGAAGAAGTCTCTTGGAGGAGAGARGAAACGTTTCATTAGAGAAGAACCCATCCAGAAGACCTATACAATTTTTTTTCTTTTTGATTTTTTACCTGGATTACTGAGATGCATCAGGACATAATTACAAGGTAATAAAAAATATGTAATGAAATTTAATTACTACCTTATTACCATGTAATTACAAGGTAATAAAATAAGTGATTAAATGTAACTACTACCTTATTACCATGTAATTATGTGGTAATTAAGGTACAAGTTTACTATGTAATTAACTGTCTGCAGTAATGTAGCACTTACCTGGTAATGTATTAACAATTCACTAGGTAACACCTAAATAAGTAGTAGGTCATTTGGACAGTTTTAAAGTTATATTTTATTGCAATTAACCACTAACCCCAAAATTGCGTTGCATTCTTTTGGTTAAAAATATAGTGTTGAGTTACTATTGAATTGTAATTTTATTGTAGTTACTCAATAAAAGTAGTTTTACTAACAATAGTTTTACTGTTGTACTGTAATTACCATATAATTACATAGTAATAAGGTAGTAATTACAATTTAATTACATTTTACTATCTTGTAATTACATGGTAATAAGGGTACCGTAAAGGAAAGCGCTACCAAAACATCTTTGTTCTAATTGTCATTTGTGATTTAGGAGCTCAGCGAAGCCATGAGAATATCCAGCGGCTGGTTTGATTCCAGTCGTCGCTCGCTTGGGTGACTCCGGTCTCATCTCTCAATTTAAAAAGTTGCTGAGAAAACCGAGCTGTGAAGACTTGCGTCTTGTAGTGCTCACAACTGAAACTTCTACAAATGTAATTTGCTAGAACACCAGAGTGCATGTCCCCGGAGCCCTGTCCTGGTGTATTAACTCTGAGCTCAAAGATACGTTTGGAATACTGAATCACTTTCAGTGTTTGTTAGGTTTATCCTTTTGTCTTCTGCAAAAATTCTTTCAACAATTTCATCCTCAGCAACAGTTTTAAATACTGTGAACTCAAAAGCAAATTGCAGTGAAATAGCAATACTTTGTGAAATAATGAGAACAGTAAAAGCCATTATAAGATTATAGGTTTGACACGATGAACGGGAAATGTTTAGTTGGTGAATTTAGGATGCAACCGCATTGTATATTTTAAATCTTTTTCACCATGTTTAACTTCACGGTAAATGTTTTATTCTGAGAAATTTCACTTGCTGTTTTGAAAAAGGCAAATAAAACAAAACTTTACTGCAGTAAATAAATTATATATGATTTACAAACCACAGTCCTGCTTACAACTGAGCAGTACAAGAAACCTCAAGTGGTTAGAGAGGTCAGTTGCTTCTAAAATGTAAAAAATTCACTATTCAATTTTTTGTTTGCAAGTAATTCTTTCTTTTTTATAGTGTTTGTAAAAAAGCATAAATCGGCTATTTCGTTTTTGTAGCCTTATGTTTATTATTAAAG